AAAGTAGATACCATTTTGCTTGTGACAGAAGTTAGAACTGCAGATCCACTGAAAAGTTTATTACTGTGTTTAGGTGAACTAAGCACTAGGAACAGGTGTTTATTTATATGCATTTTGTTCCATCAGTAAGGATGCACATATAATTTTTAAATGAAACATGAGATATTAGTGAGTTCATTCTGCATTGGAAATCCTGGCCTAAAAAATAGATAAAAATGGGGTTAGCTGCTGTAAAGACCTTGCTTTGTCAAGGAAGTTATTCAGAGCAGATTAGCACTTCTCAGAAGATGCTTACAGCTTCAAGGTTAACAGCTAATTGGTTATTAGGGCTACACCAATTAATATGGTTAGAATTTATTCCATTATGTCATAGAAGCTGAAAAAAGAAAAAGTGGAGTAGCTTCTTTTCAGGAAGAGGAAACCAAAGTGTAAATTTTAACTAACAACAGAGATTGCAGCGTATACAGGTGTAAAATAGGATAGTCGCTGTATCATCTTTTTGCAAGAATTTCTGAGAACAGGTGAATAAGGTTCAGAACAAGAAAAACAAAAGTGTCACTTGGCTTTTGCTTTAATGTAGTCATAAGGAAACAGAGACTTGACTTTTTGCTCTGCAACAATCACAGTAATAGTTGATGTCTCCCAACCTTATGTGTCCCAGAACGCTAACTGTGAACGCCGAAGACCTTGTCTTAGTGAAAAATGCAGTACTTTTGGCTGTCATTTGGGTGGACACTAGAACAGACATTTTGTTCCTTTGCTTTAAGAGGAGATGGAACATAAATGAAAAAGGGTTAAAAAACCAAGTCGGTTTATATCCCAGAACTTGGTTTATATCCCAGAAGAAGTTGGTTTATATCCCAGAAGATTTCAAATTGGACATAAAATTTGTCCTTACAATAGGTTGATAATAAAGATTCCTAGATTATGTAGATAAAAATGGAGACTGGAAGGAATGTCATCAGTTTATCAGTATCAACAGACTGAAGAAATATGTTTTCATCCTCTTTTTTTGCATTCATGCCTGATGATCAGTTTCTCAGTGTGATTTATGATGCCAAGAATCCAGGTCATTCTGTCTTAGGTAAGGCCCACCCTCCCCTTTGAGTTCCTTTTCAAGTCACTCGCTGCAACTCTGCCATCATCACAGGAAGTTCCAGCATGTAGTTAGGTTAGTAGTTGAATTTGTTATTTCATGAAAGAACAAAAGGTTGCTAGAAATGTGCAGAATCTGTATGTAAGCAGTCAGAAAATGGACCTAATTGTCGTTTCCTCATTTGCAGCTATTCCCTTTTAAGTTCTCTGAACCTGATCTTCTTGAGCCTGAAAAGCAACTAACGGCTTGAAGTGTTTTAAGAGAGCATTGGCAGAACAGGAAGAGTCTGAGAGATATACACATTCTCAGCACATCAAATCCTCGGCGCTTTTTGTTGCTATAAATGTTAAGTGACTTGAATGCAGGCAGCAGAGTTTGTCTAGATTCATATCCATGAAACAGTGACATTTGTTGCAGCCTAGAGATTATTTAGCTTCCTTTCACCTGAATTCATTTTAGCACTTGGACCCATTTAACTGCAGCATTGCTTAGAGTTACAAGGTTCCATCATAACTCTGTACTTTTACCTTTGGACTAAGATAGGCTGTTATGAATTACGCAGAAAAAAAATGTCTGTCACTCCACCTACGTAGGACATTTTCTGGATATATGCAGATTACCCTGTCAAATTACTCAGATTCCTGTTAAACTGTGATGGGTTACTTCATTTGCTGAAGGCCATAATTATGAAATGAAAGGGTCAAGCTGTGTTAGCTTTGACTTTTGCTTTCCTGACTTTTTTGACTTTGAGGTAGATGTTTGGTGCTTCTCAGTATATTATATGAAGCCTGTCTGTGGGAGATATTCTCATTAGCTATTTTTCTATATGGAATCTCCATTATGCTAACAATAATAAATATCTTTTTTTACACTGACATAGCATTATTCAGAGCAGTGCAAAATGCTGAATGGACCTCATACCTCTTCAGTTTGTCAGCCCTGGGTATATAGCTCCCTCACAGTTATCACAGGTATTCTTATTTTTGGGTAAAGACGAAGAATAGCAGAAATATCCATTCAGTTGGGAAATGCTGATGTTTTAAAATGGCAGTGATTGTAAACTGCTTTTCCACACCTACATGCTAAATATCTATTGTTAAGAAATAAACTAAATTCTGCAGTGTGCTTCAGGATAGAAGATGAGTGTTATCTAGCTTTCTAAATAAATTTTCAGGACAAAATATTCATATCGGTAGAGTAAGCTTTTCTTATATTAGAAGCCAAGCTCTTCAGAAAAAAACTGAAGACAGAATTCCCGATAATTTCACAGTATCATGTTTCCCACTGATGTGAATGTATTTTGCAATAGTCTGTGAGCATGGCAGTAAAATTTATTGCTTGCCAATAACTAAGCACCAGCTCTCTAATATTTTAGAATATTTGATACAATTTTCTATAGTTAATAGTACTTCTCTCTTCAAGCAGTATTGCTGAAGTCAATGTATTACTCAACATGAACAAACACATTACAATCACCCTATATGTCTTTCAAATACAAACATGTAGCTAATAATGATAAAATTGTATTCAAATATGTTTCTGCATTCTTATGTATAATTGCTTATGTATAATGAAATCACACAGCAGTCTTGGGCATGCATGTATATAGTCAGCATGATGCTAAAGAAGGGAAGAGTTTCTCATTTGACAAAATAAGGAGATTGTGTTGATTCTGCATCATAAAAATAAAGACTATTGCTATCTATGACACCTCCTTTCTACTTTTTTGAGGTCTCACAACTGACATGTCCCCTTCCTCTGCTGCTCAGAATTAGATAGAGCTGTAACTATCCACTGCCTTGTGTTCCTGTGGGTATTTCTATTGGTGTAGAGTAACTGTAAAATGGAGTGAAAATCAAAATCTCACCCACAGCTGGAAAAGTCAGGCCAAGATTTTCTCAAGCAAAGGAAAGTAAATCTTGGTTCTCAAGAGTTAAACTGATGTTCATCAAAAATATTACCAATAATTAGTGTAGCAGGTGACCATTAAATTGAAATTAAGCCTAATAGGGATCCTCGGTAAACTTTTTTGTTTCTTCAGTAGATAAGCTACACCTCTGATGAATGCAGCATTTGTCTGTGCTTTGTCAATAAAAAATGAATTAATAAACTAAATTATATTTTTATCCGTTTAACTTTTGAATTATTTATGCTTGGTTATGTCTGTGCTTGATCTGCAGTAATCTTTGCTCAAGTAAAAAAACTAGAGATTGTTTTTTATATGTTAGGGTATTTTTCTTTTTACAAGGACCCTTCCATGTAAGAACCTACTAGCTATCAAATAACAAATGTCCAGTAATCAGTCAAGACCCTGCTTGGACTAAAGACATAAACAATACTATAGATTCAATTATATATCCAAAATGATTTAGTGGATTAGCTTTTTTGTGCACACTTTGGCCACAGAGCAGTGCAATCTGTTGCTACATATTTCATAACTCTCTAACTATTTTGATTAATTTCACATAGAACTGAATAGAAACCAGAGTTTTCACTTTATGAACAAGTCTGCTGCTTTGAAATGTATGAGTCCAATGGAAAATAAGCAGTATATACATTTGTCTGAAAGGAAAGCCATGATAGAATGATGGTTTTAAATCAATTGAAATATTTCTTTTCTTCTAACAGCATAGGCATTTTTTGCAAGAGCTAAAAAATCAAAGTGGCTCCATTTCAGGGAAAGGAAACTGAATGCAATTTTAAAATAAATTTCAAAACTATACAGAGGTAAAATTGTGGTGTTTTGTTTTCTAATAGCAACAAGAACTTTCATATGAATAATCATGTTGTTCCAATCTGTAATGAAATGCATTTTCCCTCTTAAAAGGTTTTTCTAATAGCATGCCTGTAAGATAAAAGTGGTTTCACAATAGGTGTGCTATGAAATTTGTGGGACTCATATTTTGATTTAATAACACACTAGCAGAAAAATGATGACTCAGAGTGAATTATGTTGTCTTCCATTACATATTTTAAGGTAGGTTGTGATTTCCTGCCTTACATTGGGCCCTTGGTGTAAACAGCACCCAGAAGCCTTTAAACTTGCACAGTTTGTTTTCCAGAGTATAACTGATAATTCACAACATGTCTTAATCCTGTTCCTCTCTCTATTGCCAAGTGCTGCACCTCCTGTATATTCATGTACCTTTGCATAACTGAATTTACTGTATTAATATAGAAAATGCATACTTATATTGATTATAGGTTATTTATACAGTGCTGAACAAAATCCCCCAAACAAAATATGTAGTGTTAATTTCTGCATGATGGACAATGGAGTAACTGCCATGTTAATCCTTGATGCCAATGGTCAGGCACCTGAAGATGACAAACCCACATTCTCTGACAAACCCATGGTCTTCCTAAAGCCTACACAACAGAGAAACTATCTGGAGTATCTAAGGTCTGCTTAGACTTAGAAGTCAAGGTCCTAATGAAAATAAGAATGACACTAAAAGTAGATTAATTTCACCAAATGTTAGAAACATAAAAGTTAGGTGACTGGTGCAAAATAACTTAGGAAGAAACACATCTGGATGGGTGTTTTATTTAATTTATCATGCACAGCCATCTTAAAATGAGTCATTCACTGACATGCCCCTCTCTCTTCATACACACTACAGGGAAAGCTAAGTTTTGATTTGAAAGCTAGCCTTAGATGGGTAAAACCAGAAGAGATAAAATCCACATGTAGAAGTTTAAGGTTTTTTTGCTTCTTCTGTCAGAAATTTATTCTTCGGCTTTTAGGAAGTAAGGAGATAACAGGAAGAATAGAACCAGAAAGAAGGAGGAATAAATGAGCACCACACTCTTCCTAGTCACAATTCCTGGTTACCTTGTTGATTTAGCCTCCTTTTACATGCCGGTAAGCAATCAAATGAAAGCTCAAAATGCTTTACCATACCTGATTGTGGACTTTGTTTGGGGATTTTGGCTGCTGCTTCGGGGCTGGAGGTGGCACGCACACGCTGATTGGCAGAATTGTGGATGCTACTTGGGACAGCTGCTGAGATGTTTTTGCGAGGTTTCATGTCTTGCAACCACATTGGAGATGCCTCAAAGGCTTGCATTCGCCGAGAGTGGCTGTTAGCATTGACTTTGAGAAATGCCTGGGCCTTGTATTCCTGAAGGTCTCCATAGTTGGCATCGGTCACCCTGCATTCATACAAGCCTTCATCCTTTTTCCTTACTTTTGAAATCTGCAGCTTGTGGGAGATGTCATTTCCTTGTACTTTCACTGTCTGCAAATTTGCCAGGAAAAAAAAAAGCAACAAAAAAATAAACATGTCAGGAATTTTTCTTTCTCTGGAAAGACTCTACCGATATAGTGCCAAATTAATCAGTGGTGTGATTGTGCTTATTGCAGGGAAGTTGAATTAAGGATGACTATTTGTATCTATGAGGATGCCTGACATCTTCTTTCCAAATCTGCCTAGATGGTTTGCTCTGAAATCTAATTAGCCTCAGACAAACAACCCAAACTACCATGCTCATTCCAATTAATTGCTTAAGATCATGAGCATTCTTAATGAGCTTTCCTATGTAAACCTAGTATGTGTGCACTTCATTGGTTAAACCTTTCCAGTTAGTTGGCTTTATTGAATAATTCAGTCTTTGAACTAGTCTATTAATAATTTTGCCGGTGATGTTTGCCAAGATTTAAACTACATTAATAACAATTTATTAGATTAGTTTGTACCCTTTGCTACATTGAAACTGTATATTTGACATTCAGTTTGTCTCCTTCAAGTGTGTCCAAATTTTTGGCATTTTTTGTTTATTAATGATAGCTAGACATCTTTTGTCAGGCAGATCTTTTGCCTCATCTATATAAGTATACATATGTAAGTATATATATATGTAAGTATGTACTTATTAGGAGTTATATATCAGCACATTTTCAGGGCCATCTTAAGAGCTGTCAGCTAAAATAAGACTCCTGATTTATTTTTAATTGGTTTTAATATCTGAGGGCAACCTAACATTTTTGTTTCAGCTAATTAAAACATACATGAGTAAATTATACATCCAGACATGTGTGATAGGTATTAAGATGCATTCAGAAAAGTAACAGAGGTTCCTTTCTGTATGTTCATCACTTTAGAGAATTTATATTTAATTAATTGTCCATTACTCTCTAGCTGGTTTAGTATCAGTTGCCTCACAGGAAGCAAGTTAAAAGGAATTCAGTGGAATATAAAACTTTGGCTTTGAAGGACTTCTGAACCTCATTTATTTCCACTAATACCATAAACTTAGATGCAAAGGTTGGTTGGTGTCATATCAATGGCAAGTGATGGGGAAACATCAGAATGATAAATACATGGTAGATCACAACAAAGGAGAACTGTTAGACTGAAGTTAGGCACAGGTTATTGGTGATTGTATAACACATTGCTTCAGATAGCTTGGTATGCTGTAGTCACTAGTTTTGGCAAAGCACCCATTCTGCCTTCTTGATAAATTGAAGAGCAATACTTGTGAATATATTATTGCTTTAAGGTACTGGATGGACTTTTATAGCCTGTTGTGTTGTACCCAGCTCTGAATTTACGCTTGGCAAACTGAGTTGACAGTATGGATTTCATACTTACAGGCATAATGTATGCAGTCTTAATTACACAGAAAGTGCTGGATAGTTATTTAACCCATATTCAATATTAATATATCTCTACTAGAACAGTTCATATTCTGCAAAAGGATTAAAGAAGCTTCGTATGAATGGAAAGAGGATTTGTAGGTCAAATTGTGCCTTCATTTGCTCCCACGCAATAGCCACAAAGTTAACAGTGCTGCATAGCAATAGTGAAAAATAGAATTGTTTTTGGTTTTTGCATTTGAAATTTAGAAACTGTTGCAGGCAACGTGTATGCACGTTTTCAACTTATGCCTGTTCATCATTTAAAACTGACAGTGGTGTATTTCAGTACAGCTTTAAAAACACAGTATATTTTAGCATTTCTTTAAGGATTTACTAAGTGCATTTAAAAGTTTTCTCTTCATGATGATAATTTACAGTAGCAATAATGGAGATTCTTTGTGTGCTTTAAAATAATAAAATGGAAAAAAGAAAGGCTACGTTTGTAAAAAGTAGATTTAGACACCAACATATGCTGACTTTTTTATCACAAATATAAAATGTTTTATGCAAGCTTATAGGAACAATGTAAATAACCCATTATGAATTATTATCATACATAATGATAGAATGCAATTTGTAACTTCAAAGATGAGACAAACCTTATAGCCTATATTGTGTCTCAGTTCATATGGATTACTACAGGGATTTTAAATGAGCCAATATTGATAAGGAATTAATTGTCTGCTAGCCCTATGTCTAGTGGAACAGTATCCAAAGACCACATGTTGGCCTCATTTGTAAGACAGTCTACAAATGTAACTGAAGATATTGTCCATGGTACAAATTGTTTCTAATGTATCGTGAAAAGTGTCATAGGAAATGTAAGTTTGGCTATAATATGTATTGTTTTGAGCATAGTGTATCTGAATTCTCATTTATAAATGCCCTTCAGCTACACCTGGCAGCACTTTGACCTGATGTAATTATTTTGTTAGTTTTTTGTAGGCATCCCAAAGCAGCAGTGTAAAGGATATAAGAGAAATTATTCACCTCTGTCTATTGCTGTTGTAAGCTTTGCTCATAATTAACAGCCTTGGCTGCAGCTAAAAGGCACTTTCAAAGGAACTGCACCTGAGAAGGAAACCCCCTCTGGGCTCATAGGGAATACTCATGCTGCAGTATTTGCTAAGTGTCTGTGTCTTTCCACTGCAGTGAGCACCACACCATGACCACACCACCATATATTTCTTGGGATTCTGAGGGAGGAGGGTCTGAATTACTCTGAGGTCAGAAACAGCCCTGTGCCTGCGCCTGACTCAGGACACGGGGCTGCTGAGGAAGGCATCCTTTCCCTAGGCAAGGGCTGGAGCAACATTGCTCATAATTCTGTTGAGATAACATTCTGGTTTAATCTCCAAACAGCAAATTGGTAACCTTGGGGTTAGAATCCCACAGGAAAGAGTTCAGCGGCCAAGAGTGGCCTCCCAACAGGGAGGTCTTGTCCAAAGCCTTTCTGAGCTTTCTTTCTGACAGTGGGTATGGGTCTGTGAAAACAACCAGATAGGCAGTTGCACACCCCACTAAAGGAAATTGCAGCTTCACAGACAAATTTCAGCCTTAAGCCCACCTTTGGATTTCTAAGGCAGACTGCCCAGTTAAATGAAAACAGGCAGTACAAGGATGGGTGCAGGCTGTCTGTCTCACAGGGTACAAACAGGGTCTGCCAATGGTCTACTGCCCAATGCCTGGGGAGGTTGCATCTGCCAATGGTCTACTGCCCAATGCCTCCATGCCCAGGGGCTGGGGAGGTTCCTCGGGGCAGGGCTGTTCTGGCACCCTCTGCCAGGGCCGGCAAAGAACTCATAGAGTCAATTATTTCAGTTGGAAAAGACCTCTAAGATCATCGAGTCCAACCGCTGAGCTACGGGCTGCCAGCCTGCTGCAGTGGAGAGGTTGGACAGGTGGAGGTGGCAGGACAGGAACAAACTCGTATGGGCTGTGACCGGGGAAGAGACCCCCGGCTGGCGGGGGACGCCCGCGCCCCGCGGCGACACTTACGCTGATCTTCGTGCCGTCGTTGTCCAGGTCCCGCTCGGGCAAGAGCTCCACCTGCAGGGAGAG